TAGTAAATGATGTCTTTTCTATGATCTTGACAAGATCTTTAGTGCAGATTTGTCCAATACAACCAAGATATTCACATACATATGATCTTTTCCAAATCTTTTCAAGATCTTGCTTATCGGTTCCAAGATTTCAAGATCGTGCTTACAAGATGTTTCACTAGGGTACACTTCGTGCATATGTATGCATACATCAAAAGAAAAAAAATAATATGTCAAAATGCAATTAAAAAAAAAATCAGTTACGCCGCGGCAGAGCGGCTGGTTGAACCGCAAAAATTTTGAAATGTTCCCTAAAAGTGTGACTCATATTATTTGTGTTACAACCTATAGAATATGTGGTTTAAATGCACTGTTTTTGGAATTAGAAAGGAGACTAGAAATTTACGAGTGTCGTAAGTTCTAAATTGGGGTCAGATTTTCATCTTATTAATTTTTGTTATGTATTATTCCTAATCCGTAAAACAAAATATAGAAATAAAAATCTAACCTTAGATTTTGATTTCTTACTTGTGATTATCCTTTCGTCAAGTTTTATAGAGAATAGTGAATATGAAGCATAATTATTAACGAAAATATTAGCAAAACTGAAGTCTTATAAATGCGTTATACGCCAATATATTTCATAAAATCACTTCACTCTCCAAGTACATTATAGAATTAATGTTCGTCATACAGCCAGTTCACAGTTAACGCACTCATCACCTATAGCATATGGGCTGTTGTGTGATAATAAATTAGAATAAGAAAAAGCTGCAACTTACATTGTATCTATATGTAATGAAATATAACTGCTGTATAACTTCTAAGCTTACTGTTTGAATTTATTTCAACAAAAATCGTTTAATTATATGTTATATATGAATATTGCGCAAACTATGACAACGACGTCTATCTTTTCTTTTCTCTTGTAAAGCGTACTCATGCCCGAGAAGAGAATTGAAAGAATATGGTAAGAAAAGAAAAAAAAATGAGCAAATAGTGGAGAGTGTGATACGTGACTTTAGTTATTATTGATGTACATTCGTTTATATCTATGATGGTTGACCGCTCTTACATTGTCACTTTCTAAACATAAAAAGAGGATACAATGCGCATCAACCATTGATAAATTATAAATAAAAAAAAAATTATCCGTCACATAAAAGCTTTTCACTCTATTTGGCTGAACAGCAACTACTTCAGAAGAATAGAAAGTCCTAGGATTCGAGAAGTTGTACAAGTTTGCTCTGTGTCAATATTCACTCCCACTCTCAGAAACATTCCATGTGAAAAAATCAGAGGAATAATCAGATAAAAATTGATTAAAAATCGATTATAATCAACAACAATCCAAAAAATCTAGTTTTCATCGATTATTCCGATTATTTTCGATTTTCATCGATGATACGAATTTTTGAACCTAATAATGATGAAATTTGTAATGTTGGTCGATCAGGAAAAACATTATATAATATTAAACCACATGTATAACATATCGCCAATGATAATGGTAATAATGATAATAAATATATACAATAAATAATTATAGTTGAAAATAAACTATAATATTCAATTGGATTATCAGTTATAAATGTGGAAGATATTTGATACGATGAAAATAAAATTATATCATCGGCCAATATTTCAAATATAAAAATAAATATTAGAAAACAACATACATGTAGTATATGATGACGTTTGTGATGATAACATTGCTAATTTTTATCTATATTGGATCTTAGTCGTCTATAAAGAAAAAAAAAACAGAAGTAAATGAAACAAATAATTTATATTGCCTTAGAACAATTTTTTATATCCGCGAATTTTATAATATAACGAAAATACAAAAATACAAAATGACGACAGTCAATGTTAGTATTCTTCTTTCATGCTCCATAATATTAATGGATCTCATCTCGAACTGTAAACAAACATAAATATGCATGCATTTCATCACATATTTATATTACTTACATAAATAATCGTTAAAAAAAATTTGGATTAAATGTCTATTTTCCTTTCTCCTAATCAAATTGCTCGATTCATTTTTATAATGTATGTACAGGGTTGTGCATAACCTTTTGCTAGGGGGGGTAGCGCTATGATTTCAAGTTGAATACCTAATGAATTTTATACCAAATTAAAGCGCGTCGAAAACAACATTTATTAGTACTAAATAGTAAGAGTTATCAAAACCTTTTAATGTCGAACTTACGAAAGTTTCAGAAATTTTATGCTGTTTTTGGCATAGAGAATTAAGGCGCCAGCAATTCAAATATGAAGTAAAATATTTTCTTTTGATATTTTTACATGGTTTACAAAATTGTATATATTAAAAGTTTGTTAAGCCATTTTTTTGAGGTAAAAACTTTAAAAAATGACTTGCGAAATCTTAAAAAACGTTTAAAAACTCGTTTTTTTATATGGAAGAAAAATACTTGATTTTCTCAATAAAATTAGCTTTTTTCACTATTTTTACGAGCACAGACACTGCGAAATATACTCATCCAATGCAGCACGAAAAACTGCGCCTAACGAATATATTTTGAAGCGTTTTTATTAGTAAAAATAATGAAAAAAGCTAAATTTATTGAGAGAATCGAGTGTTTTTCTTCCATATGAAAAAAACGAGTTTTTAAACATTTTTTAGAATTTTGCAAGTCATTTTTTTAATTATTTATCTCAAAAAAATGGGTTAAAAAACTTTTAATAGATACAGTTGTGTAGAGCTCGACGAGCTCTATCGAATCATGTAAAAATATCAAAAGAAAATATTTTACTCTATATTTGAATTGCTGGCGCCTTAATTCTCTATGCCAAAAGCAGCATAAAATTTCTGAAACTTTCGTAAGTTCGACATTAAAAGGTTTTGATAACTCTTATTATTTAGTACTAATAAATCTCGTTTTCGACGCGCTTTAATTTGATATAAAATTCATTAGGTATTCAACTTGAAATTATAGCGCTGCTACCCCCCTAGCAAAAGGTTATGCACAACCCTGTAGATAAAAGGAGAAAAATCCTATCTTTAAAAGTATCACAATACATTACAAAAAACAACTTATATTTTTATTAATACCTATTTGATATTTGTCATTTGGTTTTTCTCGAAATGTTAAGTCTTATTGTATTCTAGTAAATATATTGATATATAGGATGTGCCGTGTGCACACGGAAAATTTTTTGATGAAAAACTGCGATTTTTCTAAGAATACCTGAGTCAGAACACCTAGTTCAGAATGACTGCACTCACCTGAACTTTTTTCAAAATTCAGGTGAGCTATCCTTCGAGGGGCGTTGTAGCGAACTTTTTAAAGTTCTATTGTCGCAAAGTTGCGTTGCAGTCAGACATAGAATAAGAAATATTCTTTGAAATTTCTGAAAAATAGTGGGCACGACATCCTTCTTGTCCTTACATATTCTCATATTTAAATATATATTATAGATACCGCGGTTTTTAATATCGCGGTTTTTCAAGCCGATGTAGACCGTGGTTATGTGGGAAAACATTCAAAGTCAATATCTCAACTTAGCAGACTATCAAAGAAAGAAAGTATCGAAGGAAAAACGTCCAAGCTCAAAAAGGAGAAGAAAAAAATATTGAAAATATAAAACGCGAACAATGTCTAATATGAACTAAAGTCAATGTATGACTCATTCACATGACCTATCTGTTCAGCTAAGAAATTGATTAACAATGTTAGTGGGTACTGTAACGACAGACTGGATTGAGTAGGTTACTGCCACCATCGGTAATCATGTTTATCAGCTACTTCATATATCCAGAATGTAACTATTTTACATATAGCACATCTTTATATAGGGAGAGCACAAGAGAGAACAATTGAGATAGGATAGAGGAGCGAGGAAAAGAAAAACAACGGGAGGTGATATCAATATCGGCACAGGTACCTTCTGTTCACTCACAAGCACACTAATCCTCACGTTCACATGTTCGTACCCAAACCTACACCCTAGGCACATGGGTACACTCAAAAGTAGAACGAAATCGGCAACAAATGCCTCATGTAAGATCGACCTAAAACCCTTTCAACTTGACTCGATAAATTGGAAATCGATACTGAACAATATTTACAACGATTGAATTTCTGGCTAGCAAAAGGTATTAAGAATAAAGAATAATTTCATCATTTTATGCATATATAAAAATTTTATCAGTGTACGTAAATCGTAAAAATAATAAACTTTTCAACTGTCATTATATTCTGGAGCTTAAGAAGAATAAAAGATTCCAATTTTTTCCACTAACAGAAATAAGTCAATAAAAAATGTCGTATTGAAAACTTTTCCAAAGTCTTATATAATATACAACGTTTTCGATATTTTGCTTTTCGACATGTTTGAACTTCCAGATTCTGCACTTTTGAGATTCATTTTTCAACATATGCTTTGACGAGATTTTGCTCTTCGACATTTTAATTTTCGATGTCTTGCAACTTTCCCGATACCGCCATATTGAGTACAGTTCTTTTTGAAACCGATCGATACTGCGATATTCAATACCGCGGCCCTAACAAACCGCGGTTTATGGCAGTTTTTCTGAAAGTTTTTTTCCGTGAGTGGGTGTGGATGTGTGTGTTTGTTTTCCTTCGACTCCCGTACACACCCACACCAGCTAATTCAAAAAGAAAATATTTCATTAAAACTAACGTATTAGTAACTTTTTAGAAGCAATTATTGCCTAAAATAAACCTTTCACAAAGTCAAAATCCTATTATTCATGTGCATTTGCTAAAAAACAGAAGTAACTACTTCAAATACAAATGGTTAACTGATATTTTGTTCTCTTTCCTTCAAAAGTTTCCGTCGACTTTCTACGTTTCACCCAGAGGAAAAATGAGAAAAAGAAAGAGAAAGATGAGTGTTTTTTTCTTCTATCCTGGTTACCGTTGACAAGGAAGTCATCGTTAAGGTATGTTATCAAGTAATGGCATCATAACGACACTAACTAAAGATATCAATAAAAAAAAATAGACTTCTTTTTTTTTTCATCTATAAAAATGGATCTTCAATATACTGGTGGTGATATACCTTGGTCACTTTCATATGGTGAACATTATAATTCATCAAATTCACAAGCAACTAGTTAAGCGAATATTTACAATGTTGTTTAAATATCACTTTTTTTGTTAATACAGGTAATGAATTAAAAACTATTGCTCATCGATATGATTTTCAAACATTATATGAACAACAGACAACTTCTAATAATAATCCAAAATGTACAAATGCAAGTGTATTTTTTACTAATAAAACAATTGATTCAGATTCAACTGAAATTCATCAAACAGGTTTGAAAATTTTAAGAAAAATTATTTACAAAAGAAAAAAAAAGAATATTTAATATTTAGATGTTCATGATGATCATAATCATACATTCTGTTATTTATGTTCAATAAATGAACATCAACATGAACGAACTAAACCTCGTAATGAATCTAAAGTATATATTAAATTAAATTTATTATTGAATAAAACATTAATTTTATTTATTTTTTTTTTTTGTATTAAGATACGTAAACTTATTCCATATAAAAATCCAAAAGCTCGTTTATCATCATCATCATTAGATCAAATAAAACAAAATTCTTCATCATTATCAGATTTAATATCTTATCGATTTATTGTACGAACTGGTAAACAAAAAAATAGTGGTACAAAAGCTCAAGTAATTAAAAAAAATAAAATAAAAACTCATTCTTATAAATTTTCTTTTCAAGGTATTTTTATATTTGTATGGTACTGAAAAGAATTGGACATCAATTCATTTACAAGGACATAATAATAAAAATTTATCAACATCTACAGATGGTTTTCCAAGTGGTTCTATTCGAACATTTTGTTTTAAAGGTCCAAATATTGGTCAATTACATCATTTAAATGTTAATGTAAATAATATAAGAGTTAATTTTTTTATTTTTGAATTTTTTTTATGTTTAGCTTGTTGGTTCTCGTTCAGATAAAGAATGGTTTTTAAAAGAAATTGAAATAACTAATTTAAATAATACAATAACATGGTTATGTGAATTTAATTGTTGGTTACCTAAAACTAATCAACAACAAATAAATGAAATAAAATCAAATGTTTATCAACAAACTAAATTATCATTATCAAGTATTTTTTTTTTACTAAAATTTATTATAATTTATTTATATGTATATTTAGTTTATATTTTACAAATTCGTACAGGTGAAAAATCTATTACAGATACTAATATAAATATTCATATTAAAATTTATGGAACAATAAATCAAACATCTCAATTAATATTAACAAATAATCGAATTAGTAATTTATTTGAAAAAAATCAATTAGATACATTTGTAATTATTGGTTTTGATCTTGGAAATTTATTAGAAATTATGTAAGTATTGAATAAATAATTTTTAATATAAACAAAAAAATATATTTATTTCAAGTGTTGAATTAAATAAAAATCAATTAGAAATCGATTGGTTTATCAAAGATATAATAATATGGAAAATACTACCAAATGATGATCAAAAACAAATTCATATTTATTTTCCATTTAATATTTGTCTTAATAAAAAATTAAATAAATTTAAATCAAATAAAGAATTATATCCATTAACAGATCATCATATAAAAGGTAATATTTATTTCAAAGAAGATTTTTCTTTTCTTCTTATTCATATTTTTAGGTCCAATATGTTATCAAGTAATTATTAAAACTGGAAATGTAATAAATGTTGGAATTGATATTAATGTTTGTTTGATTATCTATGGAAAAAGTGGTCGTACAGTTATTCATCAACTTAATAAGAGATTTAAAAATGATTTTGAACAAAATACAATATCAGAATTTACTGTAAGAAAAATATTTTCATGTTTTTTGAAGAAATAATTTCTAACGAAATATTTTACTCTATCAAAAATTTCATCTTTGAGTAGAAAACTCATCTTTTGCAATTAAATATAGAAGTACGAGTACATGATCTACGAACTGTTCATTCATATTCAATACTTTAGTTTTAGAGATAAAACAGATTACTATTTGATCAAAGCAATTAGTAAAATGAATGTGCCTGTCTATAGAAAATTTAAATATTCATTTTAAAATATGGTTCTTTTCCAGATCGACGACATCTAATAGACTAATTGATTTAACTAGCAGAGTACATGAGAGAATGCGGATGTCGCTAATACGAAGAAGTACATATCAGCATGAAATATTCGTCGGTCTGAAGCAATTCCTACGCTTTATAGACAAATAATAATGTGACATGAATCTTGAAAAAATATGTCAGACGTCACACAATGAAATTCACGAAGTTTTGAATTAGATCGATTTTCTATCAAGATAATTTCTAACCAATATGTCCTATGGTAACAGCTAATAGATTAAGATACGATCATTCGGTCAGCATAAAAGAAGAAAAGTGAGCGTGGACGATGCGCATCTCTAACATAAATAACTGTATTAATGTCTAACGATCATCGTTGAATAAATCAGCGTTCAGATATAAAAAGTTTATTACAAATACTATTCTATCAATTGATAGTACGATGATTGCATGTAGTTTTAGTTTTTTTGTATGTAAAGTGCATTCGTGAAATTATCTTATAGAATATGCACGACTGATTTTGTGAATTGTTTTTTTTTTATTTATCACACTATTTATGTGATGATTACTATTAATAGAAACGATTTACAAAAGTTAGATCAACCAGTGATAATCAATATCTAATTCTTCTATACGTTCTTTTTTCTGTATCATAAAAAAAAAAAAAGACATCTGAAATAATAAAAGAAAATTGTTATTTTTTAATTACAAGAAAATATTGTTGAATCGATTATCATCTATTAGATAATTTATTATTTTGTCTATACATGAAATAATCATTATCATAGTTAATAATTATCAAAGTCTTATATAATTTATTTAGATTATGGATATTGATATAGGTAAAATAGATCGTATTAAAATTTGGTATGATAATTCTAATTTTAATTCAGCTTGGTTTCTTGAATCAATAATAATTTATAAAAAATATTCAACATGTTATACAATATCTAATATATATATTCAACGTCTTAAACAAATAAGTAATATTTTATATCATCAATTTTATGAACATATGAATAAAAATTCATTTATACATAAAACATTTTTAAAAAATGAAAATGAACATATTTCAATTGATCAACAAAATTTAAATCATAATAATATTAATGATCATTTAGGAAATAATCGAAGTATTTTACGTAGTCCAACAATATATGATAAAATTAATTTACGAAAAAAAGTTACATGGGATGAACAAAGTATTGGTTCAGTTGATGATTTATTTTCAATTGATTCACAACATATAAAACTAATACAAACAATAGATGAACAAAAATATAATAAAAATAATTTAATTGATTATGAAAAAAATTATATTGATCATAAAATTTATTGGATATCATCACATAATTATATTGATAATAAATGGAAAATAAAATCAATTGAAGAAATAAATTCATTTGATTTTGATTCATCAATACGTTCATTATTACTTTCAGATCGTTCAATAATCAATAATAATAATAATATTACATCATCTACAAATGAACATCATGATGAAATTTATGAATTTCAAGCTAATTGTTGGTTAGCAAAAGATAAACAAAATGGAAAACTTGAAATTTATCTAACACCAAAATTAATTGAAAAATCATCATTATTATCTAATGTAAATATTGATTCGAAAAAGAAACATATTATTCAATCTGATATTTCATTTAAAAATTATGATAATGAAGATAAGAAACAAGAAATAAAATATTCATCTCCCTATGATCTCAAATCAATTGAAAAAAAATCTTCAAAAAATTCAAGTTTACATAATCTTCGATTATCATCAAAAATACAACAATTTTCTAATTCACATTCATTACAAGAAAATATTAATTTATCTTCTCATCCAAATACAACATTAAAAACATCTAATGAATCACTAAGAATTAAATCATCAATTGATAAATTTCCTCAATCATCATTATTAACTCAACATTTAAAATCATCAAGTAATATGAATGATTTAACAAATCCATTAAGTAGTGAACAAGAATTATTAGCTAGAATAACATCGAATGAACCATCACATCGTCCACGATCAACAATTTCATCTTTAGCATCACTTAGTCAACGTTCTAAATCACCTTTCAATACTAATGATCGTACTGCTTCAATAACTAATGAACAATCATTATCAATGAAAATTTCAAATCAACTATCTAATCATTCTCGATCATCAAATGAAAATATAAAATCATCACATAATAAACAACATTTAACTCAACCATCGTCCAATGCTCAGAACTCATTATCTAGAATTCCACATGAACAATCAAATTATTCTCGATCAACACCTATTTCACTATCATCGTCGAGTCAAAGTATAAAATCACTACACGACGGAAATAATGATTTCCTTAGTTCAATGTCTAATGAACCTGAATTATTAAGACAAATTACAGATGAATTACCAATTACTTCATTGTCACCATTAACTTCACGTATAAAATCAACTCGTAACACTACTAATCCACTAATCAATAAACGAGAAACATTACTCAATATTCCAATTGAACCATCCGTCAATCCTCGATTAACAGTTTCCTCATTACGGTCATCTAATCATCTTTCGAAATCATCTCAATCAAATAATAAATCTATTAACTCATTAACAAAAACATCTATTGAATCAACATTAGGATCTAAATCTGCCATGCATTCTAACCCTGACATTTCTTCAAAAAAATCTATACATAGTAAGTATTTATTTGTTTTTTTTTGGTTTTTTGCTTCATTAATCATTATCATTTTCTAATCTTTATTATATAGATCAAGTATACCAGTCAGCTTATGGAACATCCTCATTGGATGATTTTTAATCAATATTTATGTTTGTCACGTACATAATCTACAAAATGAATTCTTACTTATTAACAATACATTTGAAATATTTCATTTATTTTTAATAAATAGCACAAAAAAAAGGAAAACAACGCTCAATTTTCCATATTAATTGGATAAAAATCTCTCATTATTCTTCTTATGTTTACATAATATCATTCGTCTATTAGAGTATATTGCGAGTAAATCAAACGAGCTTATTGTATATATTCGACAATGTATCTTTCATCATCCGATGGCTGTTATATACAGTCGAAAGAACAAATAAATAACACATATATATATATAAATGTATGATAGATGTTGATTTAGTTCACTAATATGTTATTAATATAAAAAAAACTTTTACACAAGAAATAAAATTTATTCTTCAATAAATTCTATATACCAAAAAAAAACAATGTTTAAAAAACTAGAATAAAAAGTTTAGTAAGATAAACAATTAAGAAAATTGTTTTGTCCTTGTTCGGTTTGATAATTATCATATGAAATATAAGCTCGAATGAATTTATCGATAAATTGCTCATATGTTAAATTTCTATTAAATTCCAACAAGCTCGATAACACTATTCGCCATCGGTTAAGATGATCACGTATTATTAGTTTTTCTTTCTTATTTTGTTCATCATTAAGAATAGCTCGTATTTCATTCTTGTCATTTGTCTATACTTTATTATGACGAACAGTAGAAAAATAAAACAATAGATTCTAGACAACGGAAAAAAAACGAGACAAACTACTAGTTGAGATAATAATAATAATAATAATGATGACAATGGAGACTTGTAAGCGAGTAGATGATCTTGTCACCCCGTTATTCTACATTCAATTTTGCTTTATTAATGATGATTTCTTTGTCTCTGTCGTTTTTTTTTCTCTTATCTTTTTCTTTTTCTTTTCATCGACAAGAAATTGCCAAATACACACAGAAGAAGAAGAAGAAAAAAAAACTGAGAAAACGAAGAGTAACATACAAAAGCGGTGTTTATAAAGACGATACAAAATTTTCTTGTGTGATCTTTATATTTGTTTATATAAGTTTATTTGAATAAACATTTTTGCTCTTTTTGTCTCTCTCTCTCTCTCTCTATTTACTCTTGATACGTTATGTCAATGCAGTTCATTGTTGCATGTCGAGTACTACAATTATTTTTATTCAACTAATCATTTTGATCAGTAACATCATATTTATACGTTTAACAATTGCTTTTAATCAATGTGATTTATCAAGTGCTATTAACTTACAATGGGCAACATATAGACATTCATTAATTTTACGTGTTCAACCTATACGTTTATCTGAAAATGTTTATACAAAAAATATGACTATTATTAGAAAAGTTCTTGTACGTGAAATTATTAAAATGTCAAAAATTAATTATTATAAAAATCATCAAATAGTTAAAATAGATGATATTATTATAATAAAAATCAATGATAATGATAATGAATATCTTGATGATATATGTTGGCATTTACTTCGTCTATCAACTATGGATATTATCCTTTTTCTTAATGAAACTAATACTAATGAATTTGATTTAGATTATCCACCAATTGAATCAACATTTCGTATACGACAACATATTGATACAGTTCTCAATTATGGTAAGTATCTATTAAATATGTAAGACTTGTCATCTTATAAATTTCTTTTATTATCATCTGTAAAAACTTTAAAAAAAAAGAGGAAAAGGAAAAAAACTAATTACAAGTATTTTTATTGATTATATTTTCTTCTTCTTTTCCCTTTTTCATTATAGAAAGTAAATATATTATATCGTATTCAGGTGTTTATGTGCATTCATTCATTCATTTCTTCTTTTTTTTTTTTTCTTTCTCTTTTACATACAAACTTAAAACGGAAAATCTTGATGAGATTGATCGACGATGCAGAAATAGAGAATGCCTTGTCACATAAATGTCCTACTACATCCGTTAATAGCCAAAACAAAAAGAAAGTAAAAAAAAATAAATAAAAAAAGAAGAAAACTTAATCGAACTTCAAAATGAATACATGTTTCCACTCACTAAGCAATTAGTGATTACTAATTTGACAATTTAATCCAAATCATTGTTCTACGAGTCATTTGTATGCTCAATCAATTATATATATACGTGTCACATTTAGATATAAAACTCGTCTGTACCTCGTCATTAGTAAAAGGGTGGATGTACATATAAATAGATATTAATGTGTACATAGCACTTATAAATATAGATATAGATATGTACATAGTTAAAGTGCATCATCTATCAATGACGAAGATGAGCTGTTCTACTTTTCTATAATATCAGTCTTTTTTGACGAATTCCTGCCATTCATTTGACATTGACTATGTTGATTGTTTAGACGATGTATATAGCATGTTACTTTGCAGAATCGTTTGCCTTTTGGATAGAAAGGGAAGTGTAAAAGACACTGATTTCTACTATCGTTCTGTTTTTTTCTCTTATCGGGCAGTTCTATGTCTGGTGTTAGTAGTACGATTATCATCAGTAATATGCTAGCAATTGCAGACAGATAGACAGTTATCGTATGTTCTGACATTTTTTTTTGCTTTTTTTCTCTCTCTCTCTCTCTCGTTTTTTTAGAGACATATCCACCCAAAGTTCTAATAAAAACTCGTCTAGATAAAGCAATTTTATCAAAAGATTATTTTCTTCAATGCAATTCACGTGGTAATCCATTACCTCGTTTATTATGGAGTAAAAAAAATGATAAAAACGATACATTAGAATATTATCCATTATCTAAACAATGTAAAACATCATGTCGAATTTATTCTATACAACATAAGTACAGTGAAATTGTCTCATTAATAATTAATTTCTATTTTAAAGTTTTTTTTTTTAAGATATCAATCAATTTTATATTTTCGACCATTAATACTTGATGATATTGGAATTTATATTTGTCGTAAGATTTTAGAGATTTTTTTTTTTTTTCAAAAGAAACGTTTCTTTTTTTTTATTATCTTAGATGCAGAAAATCCAATGAATCGTACAACAACTAGTGTTTATTTAAATATCGATGATGATCATCATTATCAATCGAATATAAATTTAACATGTTCTAGTTTAAAATATTGTCATGATCGAGGACAATGTATTATTATTAATAATCAAATAAAATGTGTGTAAGTATAAATATTTTTATATTGACAAGTTTGTTTTTCTTTGATTGATTAAAATTCTATTGGAATGTTATTTGTTTTTGTATATTAGTTGTGACAATCGATATTTTGGTGAACAATGTGAAACAAGTTATGATGATATTATAAAAAAACAAGATTGTAAAAATAATTAAATTTTCGAAAAAAAAAAAATAAATAAATAAATAAAACTAATCATATCTAATAATGATTATTTTTCTTTTTATTTCTAGCTGCTATTCTTTTATTTCAATCTCGATTTTTGGCTGGTTGTATTCTTTTTTCAATTGGATTTGTACTTTTATTAATTGCAATTATATCTTGGTTTCTTGCAAGAAATAATAGACAACAACAACAAAAATTGAGAAAAAAATTATTAGCAAAAAAATCAACTGAAAAACCACTTATTATACCTCCTAAAGAAACGAATCCTTCAACGGAAATTAATGGTACCATTCCATCATCTACTCCAATTGAGCAAATAAATAAACTTCCTAGTCGTACTCCTCCTCCTCAAGCTAGTACTCACATTAGCCGTTTACCCATATTAGAAAAAAAACCATTAATACGTCCTTTTATTCGACAGCCAAATATGCCAACAGCATTAACAAGAGAATCATCGATTGCAACAGATGATGATGATGATGATGATGGTGATGGAATAAACAGTTTTCTACGTCATTATCAAACATTACCACCTGTACCAACAAAAATAGATGAAGAATATGAAGAACGTTTTTCTTTAAAAATGAATAAATCTGAAGAACTTGGTCTTGGTTATTTAACAAATGGAACAAATAATAATGAACATATATTTTCACATAGTTATGTTGATTATTATCAACCAAATAATCAAACAGGTTTAATTAAACCATTAAATATACGAAAAGATCAACCACAACGTTATACAAAATATGTTTCATCATATAGTAAATTTGTTTTACCTCGACCAGTCAAATTATCATCAATAGAATATTAACAATAATAATGTTTCTTAGTTATTATTTTGTTTTTTTCTTAATAATGTTTCTTTTGTATTTACATATTTTGACTTATCTAGAAAGATATGTTTTCTTTTGTTTTTCTTTCTCGCTATATATACATGTCATGTGTGCTGTTTTTTTTTGTTTCCTTCAAGAATTCTAGATATTTCTTATATTGAAATATATACATTTTGAATGAATAAAGGAATTCATATATATGATAAATAAATATTAATAAGAAATTTCGAGAAAAAAAGAATATATATTCATATATCTTGATCAAATGAATTAATAATATACATTATACAATATTTAGATTGTTTGTTTGGTTTATATTACTCTGTTTAACATGTAAACACTTGTAGTTTTCAATGATAAATATCAGTTTTCAAGGTTTATTTTTCAGAATATTAATGTAAATTATAATGATCATTTCACTATCATATAGAAGATATATATATTCAATTAATTGATGTCTACACTAGAATTACTAGCAGGGGAGTGGATATAACCTTGATAAATCGACAACGGCAATAATTAGCAAGTCGCGCTTTTTCATCAATTGAAAGAAAAGAATTCCGGACGTTTTGTTATCTGATATAATACAAGAGAAAACTATTTTTATGTTATCAAATTTTAATAAAAGTCAAGTGATTTAGATCCAAAAAAAAATTAGGAATCAAATATTTGTTACGTCTTCAACAGTGTTTTATCCAACATATGAGCTGAGAAGATGGCGATGCTTCTCTGAAAATCAAGTTGGTTCCTCAGAGTTCGTGGTTATTGTACTGTGTTCCTAAAAAAAAAGTGATATTTGCCTTTTCGGAAGAGAAAATCTGGACAAAACACTGACCTATGATTCAAACTATTATAGACTAATGCAAATAAATTCTATAATAACTTTGAATTTCTTAATTAAAGGAAAAAGACAACATATGTTTAATTTGAACAATATATTTTGATTTTTGCTTCTTTTATTTAATATTCATATTATAATTCTGAATGCAATGACGATAACAAATAAGATTAAAAAGAAAATAAAAATGAATAAATATTATTTTCGATTTATTGAATCATGATATTAATTTTTAATCAATTGATCATATTTTCAAAATATTTCTTTTTTTTTGTTTGGTTATATTATTCATATATATATAAGAGAGAGAAGAAAGAAAAAAAAAATAGAGAACCTTTTCTATCTACTAATAAAAATGCATGACGATCAATCGAAGTGGTTGTCAATTGAGGTTGTCATCAATGCCGAAGAAACGTCGACGATTCAATTATAAAAAGCTGTCGTTGTATTTTACTTCTTTCTTTCTCTTTCTTTTGATCAACGAGTTGTGGTTTATTATCGGGTAATATTGCGTGTATATTTTTTTTTTTTTAGTTGTTCCTTACTATGAACAGATTCTATTATCGTTCGCATTCGCAATGACTTGCATGCTTATCTGCACACGCTTGTATGATGTTCAAAAAACAAAAAAAAAACAAACGACAAAAGCGAGAAGGATCGTTCAATGCCAAATACTGCTGTTTTACAATGTTCTCGAATTTGTTTCTTTCTTCTTTATATTCTTGTTCCGGACGTTAGCAAACTTGTTAGTTGTTGTCAACAAAAGAGAACAACAGCGAAAGACAGAGAGAAAGGCTAACAACGGCAAAGCATCTTCTAATCTTTTATGAGATGTGACATGAGCTTGTGTTCTTGTTTTTTATCATCATAGTAATCGTATTTTTTTTTTATTGTTTGTGTTGTTGTGTCGGTAAAATTTAAACCGATAGAGAGAGATGATACTAATGTTTTCTATCTCATGTACATATACATCGGATTGACCTATGTTATATCATCATTACATGTTATACTCGCTTTAATGAGTATTATTATTGGTATTATTTCACAAAGTCGAGAACCTATTTGGATGGCACATAGTATATCACCATTATGGAGCGGTGTTTTTGTAAAGAATCTTTTTGTCTTTTTTTTTTATATATATTTCTTCTTATAATTAATTCTTTTATATTTATTACAGTTTGCACTTTGTGGTACTACAGGAATAATATGTACACGTCATAAAGGTCTCTATTTGGTAAATTAAAAATGAATTAATAAATCAATAAAAGAAATTTTTCTTTTTTTTTGTTTTAGATATTATGCTATGTAGCAATAAGTATTGTAACACTTATGGTTGATTGTGTTAATATTCAATTACTACGTTTAGGTCTTGTTAATATAATGACTGATGGACAAGCTTATTTAAAAGAAGAAAAAGATTTACTTGTATTTATTGCATTAATTATATCATTAATTGAATGTTTAATATGTTTATTAAGTATATTTATTGGTATACGATTATCGTTTGATGCAGCTAATAGCAAATTTCGTAAAAAAGAAGGACTATTTTTTGTTCAAATATTATCCGAAAAAGATATTATTGTCGTATCAAAACCATCATTATCATCAAAACAATCTGTTTCAGTTCGTGAATCTGTTCAATCATTCGATTGATTATCAATATGACAATATATATATATATATATTTCTTTCTTCCGCTAAGTTCTTTTTTCTTTTTTTTTGTATTCAAAATAAGAAAAACTCTATATCACGCTTAAATTGTTAAATGACAAATTTATACTATATTTTGTTGTTTGTATGCAAAAAAAAAACCAAATTCGTATAGAGAAAAATCAGTCATGCAGATATGAATTTAAAAGAAACAAAAAATTTTTTTATATTCGACGATAAATATCACCTATTACATATGTTCAAGTGTATATAACATAGATGAGTATGTCTTAAGATATAATAAAGGTCATTCTAAGAGGCTACAACAAGTAATATGTTTTTCTTTTTTTTTTACACTACTTGAACTGATAAACAAAAAAATGTGTCCTTAATAATCATTAGTTTATCATATAAAAATAATTTTATAAACTATTAAAGAAGAATTGATTTAAAAACCTATTCTCGAATATTATCAAGTTTTATAATATTAAATAAGATTTTATTTTCGTTATTCATAAATTTTAAACTTAACTAAATATTTATTTGATTATATATAAAATATCTAATTCGAACAAGAAGAATATTTTATTTTAAATACAAATATTTCTTTTTTTTGTTTATTTTCAACATAAAAAAAAAAAGGAAGTCACTCGTTCGCTTGACATTATAAAGTCTTTTTTTGTTTTTTCGACTTTGATCATGATTATATTAGTTCGACAGAAATATATTCCAAAACAAAAAAAGATTTTTCTATAGATTTATTTTTTTGATTGTTGTATTGGAATAATCCTAGAAAATAAATTAATAATTATTTTATCTATTATAATAAATTTTACTTCAAGTTGATGTGCAACATGTAGATTATGTTTCATTGTATCTGGACGTCGACCACCTCGTTTTGATGATTTTGTTGGTAATTGCTAAAATAATTTTAAATAAAATTTAATAAAACAAAAGAAAAGATATAAAATTAAATATACAACTTGTCGTGGTATATTTTTTGTTAAACCATAATGTCCTTGATTATCAAGAAATTCCCATATTTTTTTATCATCTAAACCTTCAACTGATATTTTTCTCCATGATTCAATAAATTCTGGATTAACACGAAGATTATATGCACGATCCGTATAGAATAAAACATCTTTTTTATTACTTGTTACTTTTACAATATCACCATTTTTTATTAAACTCTAAATAAAAAAAGAAAATTATACAAAAAAAAACAAATATAATTTTTTTTTTATAATACATCAATTATACTATCAGCTTTTGCTTTTGGTATTGTATCTCGTACATCATCAACAGTTACAGCACCTTCACATTTTTCATGTCGATTTTTTATAAGATTAAGAAGATGTATTTTTTTTGGAGCTTTTAAATCAAGTGGAGGTTTATATACAAATTTATTAACATCATCAACTTTTTTAACATCAATTTTTTCATTTGATAAAAGTGCCTAAATTAAAATCATATATATATATATATAGATTTAAAATTTATAATAAATAAAAATAAACTTCAGAAGCAAGCCAATGTTTATCTGATGGATCTATAGTAAGATCAGATTCTGCTATTATTTCATCTAATGTTATTGCATCAGTTTGTCCACCAAGAAAACGTTCCTAAAAATAATATTTAAATTACTTAACATATGAGAATATTTTTACATTGTTTATTAATTCTATCAATAATATCATCTGTTTTTTTAGTACTGTCAATATTAGTTATCAATTTTTATTTTTCTTAATAAATTTATCTTTCTTTTGTTTTTTTCAAATTATAAAAAAATTCATCGAACTAAAAACAAAGAAGGGCAGGAAGAAAAAAAACCATGTGAAGGTACTTTGTGTAAATCTTAGTACTATCAGTCGAAGAATGATTCAGGACAAGTTATTGATAGATTATTTATTTCGATAGTATGAGGAGCTCTACATCAGACTAGATTTTTATTTAGAGCTACAGTTAGTATTGCAATCTAAAATAGAGACCTGATGACTCGTAAAATATTGTGAAAGTTTTAGATACAAAGAATATTTCTTTGTCAATAAATATTCAATTTCTAAATAAACTTGATTTTTATGACACGTATATAGCAAATGACTATTTGTTGTGAAAACTCAATACCTGGATACATGAACACTTTGTTTTTGACTAAAAATTTTAGAATATTCTGAGGATTATGAAATTTATCTTCAGATTGAGTAAAAATGATCATAACTTCAAGAGGTCAGAACGAGGGGGAGTATCCAAAAATCGGAGAAAATAGCCTAAAATTTGTCCGATTAACATATAGTCTTATTATTTATTTACTTGTAATTTTTCGACAATATTTGTAAGTGTTAAAAATCTTGATTTTGACGAAGTACTTGATATATGATAATCACTTGTAAAATCTAAAAAAAAAAAAAAAGTAATTTTTCTATCTAATATAAAATATAACAATAATTAACCTGATGATGTTTTTGATCGACCAAATGTAGGTTTTGGTCGATTTGTTTTTTGTGATGATGATGATGATGATAATTTTTCAATTTTTTGACGTTTTTCATTTGATATTGTAAAAGCTGATGCATCTTTTTGTCGTTTAAGAAAATTTTCACGTTCTTTAAATAATGATGCTGATGAAGAAGATGTCATTATCATACAAAAAAATCTAAAATTCATATATTTTTTTTAATAGATCAATTTCATTTAAATATTAAATAAAAGAACAAAACAAAATAGATGAATATTTAATATACATTTAAAAGAAACAACAACAACATTAAAAGAAATATTTCAAATATTTTGATTAAATATATTTTACTTTAATAAATATACTCGCAAACAAAAACAAAAAAAAAACGGCCAGCCGATAGATGTTAATTTTGTTTTGAATTAATATAAACAAAAAAAAGCAAAGAAATTATTTATTTTTTGGTCTCAACATTTTGTTTTTTTTTCTTCTTCCAAAGCATAAAGATGACAAAAAAAAAGAAAAACTGAAGCAGCACAGCAGCCAAAAATGAGAAATAAAAAGATATGAAGATATCACCGGCATTGGTTTTTTTTTTCTTTTCAAAATATTGTTTTTGTTTTGATAAATATCACCGGACGGGGAAAACGACAATAAATAAAAAACAACAAGAGCAATAACAACAATAAAAGCGCGACTTAATATTAAAGAAAACAAAAAAAAAACGAAGCTATAAATGAATGTACCCGACACTCAAAAGAAAATAATATACATGAGAAAAAAATGTCTTTTATACTGATTTTTAATAATTAATTAATCATTTATTCAGTATCTGTTGAAGATATTTTTATATTTGAAGAATCTTCATTATGATTAATTGATGTATCTTTAATGAAAAAAAAAAAAAAAAATTTCTAATAAATTTATTCAAAATTAAAACTTACTATCATCATTCATAGCACTTTCAGTAACTTGAAGAAAAAATTTTTCAAATTCTGTAGGATTATGATATGTTTGTTTATCATTTGATGATGATAATGTTTTTATTGAATTATTATCATTTCCTTAAATAAGATATTTATTGATTATTAATTCAACAAAAAAATTTTTTTTTTTTTTTACCATAGAAAATAGATGAATTTGTATCTGAATAAGATTTTTGAATTAATAATTCATTATTTGAATTTATTGTTGTTGATATTGGTGTATTGATTAAATACTTTTGTGATGAATATGGTGTTAATGTCATACCATAAGTTGATTGTTGTGATGATGATGATGATGATGTTTGTTTTGTATTATATGAACGAATTTTATTTGGATCACTATATGTTTTACATAATTTTGTTTTATCATTAGAATTTATTTCACCATATGGATCAATACTTTTTTTTCTTGTTAATAATTGATGTTGATTTGTAGATAAATATGTATTATTATTATTTGTATTTGATGGTGTTGTTTTTATATAATTAAATGATGGACGAAAATTTCCAGTACCATTACCATTACGTTCAATTAAAAATGGTGTTGTTTGATGATTTATTAATTGTTCTTGTAATGATGGTGTTGATGTTATTGATAAATGATTTGTTAATATTGTTGAATCATTATAATAATCATCATTTATAGAAAACATTAATGTTGGTGATTTAATTGTATGTCGATTTGATTCTATTGAATTATTTCCATTTTGATTTAATAATTCTAAATTATGTTGTCTTGATAATGGTATTGAATTATTATTATTATTATTATAATTTGAAAAATATGAACATGTACTTTTTATATTTCGTACTGTTGGTCGTGATATTTGTGTTGTATTTATATTACCCATACTTGTTTGTGGTTTAAGTTGTACACGACGATTTAATGATGATGATGATGATTGCATTGATTTAAAATCAATTTTACCTGATGTTTGTAATTTATTACATAATGGACCACGCCAATGTAATAATGTATGACGTTGATCAGCTGAAAAAGCTTCATGTTTATAACAACGATCAAATAAACCAACTAAATTATTACACATTTCAGATAATAAATGTGTTGATGAATTATTACATGTTAATTGTTGATAGACTAAAGTATATAAGAAAATTCATTAATCATTTTCATATACAAAATATTCAAACGTTCAAAAAGTGTCAAAGTCGAAATATGATCGTAGTTAATAGAGGAATCGGAACAAGATTCTTTTTTTTTGCTTCGGTACTAGAAACAACTAATCTCACGAGAGAAAATTCTCAAGTGATCCATCGCTTTTAATTGCGGAATAGATGCATTATGTGGACTTGAGCTAATAGCTGCCGAGATATTGCATTTTTCAGTACAGTGCCGTGATCTTTTAAAAGGAACATAGTTATGATAAAAATATATTTGTCCATTGGGGTTACCGAAACTTCGTCAATAGGATGTTTGCCACTAGCGAACATCTAGGAGTATATAGACGAAACTCCATTGCACTTTTGCTAATTGGCAAAATTCCAAAGGACGCGTTGACGAAAGTCAGAATTCGCGTACATTGCTCATATACAAACAGAATAGAAGCAATCAGGAGATCTAAAATTTTCATAATAAATTATTCTCATTGAGACCTATCACTATACAAAATTCCAAACTCAGTTTTTCTAATGTTTCTTAGAAAAACTACGGCACTGTGTCAATATCTCGGTAACAATAAGCCATCATCAGCTCGAGTCTACATAATGCACACAGTCCCAACTTGAAAGCCATGAATCACTTGACGGGACTTTCCCTCGGTCAGGCACAGGCACGTACCGAACCCTCCCCCCTCAGGACTGAAGACGCCTGTAGGGGGGTAAGGTATACGTCTTTTCTAGCAAATTTTTGTAATTTTCTCATGGTGCCCCCCCTCTAAGGACTTTGGGCCCTTCTCTCAGAAAGTTTCTGAGTACGTGTCTGATCAGTCATGTTTCATACAAGGTAAACCTTGAATTCAATTTTAACTGACTTTTAATATCAGTGTCACGGTGTAAGAATGCCCCTTCCAAGAGCCATGACCTATGCATATTAAACGTTAATTTTTATGTTTGATTCTTGTTATTATATTGAAAATACCTTTTTCAAGTACTTGCATAATTAATTTTGGTAAATCTTCATCATTATCATTAATTTTATCTATTTGTTTAACACGTATTGGTGTTAACATTAATTCATTTAATTGTTGTAAAACAGTTTTTATATCAATTTGTCCATTATCAATATCAATAAGACATTTTTGTAATAATATTTGTCGTTCTTTTAATTTTTTAATATTTAATAATATTTTAGTACATGCACCATCAGTTATTTTTCCTTCTTTTAATTGTTCATAAGTTAAATTCATCATTTGATCATATGTCATTTGTGAAAAGAAAAAAGCATATTTATGTAAACGAAGAGTTTTTAACCATTTTGGTACATCTTAACAAAAAAAAAATTAAATAAAATAAAAAAAAAGAAAGCTTAAAAAGTATATATATATATATATTTACCACGCATGCCACTATTTGGTTGTAGAAATTTATTAGTTATAGAACCCGAATTACTATCAACACCTAAATATGGTGATACAATTTCTGTATTATTTCTTGGATATTTTCTTGTATTTCGATTACAAAATGAATGATATTGACCTAAACGATTATAATTATCTTTTTTATTAATATCTAATTGAAAATTTTCAATTGAATTTTGTTGTTGTTGTTGTTGATATTCTTGTTCTTCTTCATCACTTATTGTTAATGTTGTTTTCATTTGTTGTTGATAATTTGAATTTTGTTGACGATATTCTGAATAATATGAATGAATTGATGGTGCTGGTGCACTTAATACAGCTGATAATGGTATAAGTGATGATGAATTATTTGATATTTTTTGTTCAGTTGTTGGTGATGATGCTGATTTAACAACAAATATACGTTCATTTTGATTATCTTGTTCATTATTAATTAATGTTAAATTATCAGAATTTGAACGACCAATAATTGTATGTTGTGAATCTTGTATTGATAAAATATTTTGTACAGAATTATTTATACTTGGTTCAGTTAAATCAAGACCACTATCAGTAGTTATATGACGTGTTAATTGTTGAGATAATATAGAATTTTGTGAACCTTCAGAAGAAAAATTCATTAATGGTGGAGGTGGTGGTGTTTGTTGATGAAGACGAATTGATGGATAACGTTGTAATGGTTGATGATGTCTTTGTGATGATGGAGATGATGATAATGATTTCTTTTATTGTTTTTTAAAAAGAAAACAGAAAAATCAAGATATAGAAGAATTTTTTTTTTTTTTTTGTTTTTTAATTTTTTCAAATATTTTTTTTGTTATGTTAATATTAGATAAAAATTTACTAGACATATATTATATTTAAGTGCTTTTTTTATACTCTTTTAACAGTTAATTCTAATGGAAGAAATATTTACATCCGTATTTCTTATTTGAGAAAAAAAAAATAATGATTTTACTATGTCATGACGACATTTACGATTATTTTTCTTCTTATATATATATATAGAAAGCTTCTTTTTTTTTTTTTTAAATTTTATACCTCATCTTTATTTTCATTATAAATTATTATTGTTGATGAAGTTGTTAAAATATTTAATTGTGGTAAATCAACTAAAAATTTTTGTAAACATGGATTTGTTTGAATAAAAAATTTAATTTGTTGACAAAAATTAATTAATTGTTGTTCTGTATAAGAAAAATTTAATGGATTATTTAATTTTGAATCTAAATAAATTAATACATCATGATATGAATCAAGTAATTTTTCATTTATTGTTATCATTGATACTAATGGTAAATAAAGTTGAAGTGTTGATATAATTTTATCCAATGGATCTGATAGAAGACAAACAATAATAGCTAAAAAAAAATCGAAAAACAAAAAAAAAATGTATTGAAAATTATTTTCATTTATTTTTGCTACCTGGTGTATTTGCTTGATGAACTGTATGATGAAACATATCATTATTTTCTTGTTGATTATTTGTTTGTGATAATAATTGTAAAAGATAATAACGATATGATAATTGTAATTTTTTTGTTAATTCAACTGATGCATAAATTTGTTCAAATGGTGACCATTCATCAAATTGTTGTTGAAAATGATTATTTTGTTCATGAAATTTTTCAGATAATGTTAACATAGTTTAAATGATAAACTAGAATTTTTACTGCTTTTTTTTTTTTGGCTTCTCTAGAAATTTCATACACACACAACACACACTCACACACACAACACAATAGATAATGTTATGTTTTAAGCAAAAACATTGCCATCTGAAATATTAGAATACCAAAAAAAAAAAGAAAAATGTATATGTAAATTGAGTCATTTTATTATTATATTTGAAGTTTGTTCAACTAGGAAATAATGTTATAATGTTTTAAATGCTCATATGACATGTCACTAACTACCTTACTGTACTAATAGTTGAGACACATTCAGCTTATATACTTTTTTTCTTTTTCTCGCTATTTCTCTTTGAAGATCGACTTTCTTCTTCTTTTTTTTTTTTTCTCTTTTTTTTTTCTCTCTCGTACTCTTATATAATCGGGTAATCAATCCAGGCGCTTCTTCGGTTCACTATATACCGGGAATAGCAAGAAAAAAGCAAAAAAAAAAAGAAGCAGAAAAAACTATATGGAACAAGAATGACTTTATTTTTCTATGGAACCAATGTCATGTCTCGTCTTTTTCTTTCCTCTTCCTTTCCTTTTATTATTATTATTTTTTTTTTCTTCTTCTTTCTTTAGGATAGATTCTTTTTTTGGATGCTCACTATTAGAATGTCGTCTTGTATCCAACGACGATTATACTTACTATTTTTTTTTTAATGTTCTGTTTTTAGAGACATTATTAAAAAGCACACGTTATTTGTTCTCAGTTTATAATTTTTTTTTTTTTTTTTACTATATAAATAGAAAAATTTGAAATCAAATATTCATTTATTAGATTTGAAGAAAAATTAATAATGTTTTGTTATTTTTTGTCCTCGCTCTCTCTCTTGTATTTGTTCTTAATGATATCAAAGTCAGATTTGATTAAAATTTATCTTTTTAATCAATGAAATTTGAAATATATTTATTTTTATTATTCAAAACATCACGTTTTATATTGTGACTTTTAATTTATCACATTTAGTTGAGTTTCTAGCATAGACAAAAAAAAATAATAAATTGACAGAGCACAAAAACTAGACGATAGACATAAGCTTTAGTTTTTTTTTCTTTTTTGTTGATTTATCTCAAACAAATAGCACAAAAAATAAAGAAAATATTAGAAGCACGTAAGAAAAACGACAACAAAAAAATAAAATCATGATATAAACAATAATTACATTTAATAAACTAGCTCGAGGGTTAGTTATTTATATGTCGATATAAAATTAAAAATACCTAAGATCGGGGAAAAAAAAGAAACGTTTCACTTACGATATAAATAATTTCTTTTGTTTTTGTTTTTTTCCCTATTTTGAATAATTTGCCATCTTTTAATCATTGGTACATATTTTAAATATATGAAAATTTGAGTAATTATAAAAATTTTCTTTGTTAGAAAAATAAAAGGTCAAGATAAATTTATTATTTTTTTTATTTCTGTTGTCAAAAATATAAGCTTATACCTTATAAATTAATATACTAGATGTCAGTCAATGTTGGCACTCTATAATATTATCAAAAAAAAGAAAGGTTTTTTTTTTGTTTTTTCAGATATGATGAGTATAACTCATGCGTATAAAATAATTTTTGGCATAAGAATATTAGAAAATAATTTTCTATAAATGGAATTATTCAAGAGAAAAACAAAAAAAAATGAAATTTATAATATATTATATATACTTACCTATGGTTATTATTGTTATATCTTTAATATTAGTAAGATGACAAGAATGAATCATTGAAGTGGAAAATCACTTCGACTTTTTTTTTTTACAATCATGCTTTATCATATTAATAATGTTTAATATAATGACTGTTTTACAGATACGCATCATATTATTCATCATATACTATATTTATCATGCCTAGTAAAATAGGCGTTTCTTTGTCTATTAAAAATCAGGTTTTTCTTTCTTGTATTATCATAATATTCTTAAGATAGGACAATAAATATTTCATCTCTATTATCTCATTAGATTTTATGTATTTCTTTTCTTTTATTTTCATATTAACATATCATGTCTTTTTATTAATATTCATTCATGACCGTAGTTAATTTATAATATCTAACGACAATTTCAAGGAAATTAAAACTTCTTTCATATTAATATAAATATAAAATAAGACTCATATATCTATTTTATGTTTAACGTGTATTATCAATGTCATGAGAAGAAAAACAAAACAATCATATTAGTATCAAACATTAAAAAAAACTAATTTCTTTTATTTGAGTTATGTTTCTTAAATATATATATATATATATTAAAATAAAAGACAAAAGCATCTGACATGCTAGAGTAAAATAATTAAAAACAAAAAAAAAAACAAAGAACTTGCTCATGTTCATTATGTATTTATTGAATAATCAGGTATAGTCTGTACATTTTCATCAATAATCATTCCACTTGATGAACTATTATTGGATGTATTTATTTGATTTTGACATTCTTTATCATTAATCACTGTTACTGATTGTGGTCCTGAACAAAAAAAAAACACAACAACAAATGAAATTTGTCAATCAAATAAATATGAATTTTTTATATTTATTTTGATACTAACCAAAATAACTGAGTAATATCGGAAGAAAAACTAAACCATGTAATGCACCAATAATAACTAATGAAAAATACATACGAAAATAAAACACCTGGAAAAGTTGTGATTTAGCAAATGCAAGTACTACAACACCACCAATTTTTGTTAATGTTATACCACTAAATACCTATAAATAATATATTATATAGACACACAAAAAAAAACAGATATTAAATTAAAAAAACACATACAGAACTACCCATTTCAGATAATGCTATTCGAGCACGTATTAATTGATTATCACCTGGACTAACAGCAAAATAACGAGCTATATGAGCACAAAATTCAACTGCAATACCAACAGACTAAAATAAAAGAAATTACATAATTGTTTTCTTTCGAAGAGTTTTGTTTGTTTTTTTTTGTTGAGAGAATTAAATCCTACCATAACTATATTTACAACAGATACAGCATTAAGTTCAATATTCCATAAAAACATAACACCAAAAATATCAATTATAATCATAAATACACATAGAAGAATAAGAAATGATGTATGAAAATCAAAACCAAGTAATATACATGTTACAATAAATACAGCAGTAAATGATAATAATAAATTAACAATAAGATTACGCCATATTGTTAAATATTGATCATAAAATACATAGAAAATACTAGAAAAAGACAAGTAAGAAAAATTCATATAAAAACAAAAATTAATTGAGCTTAAACATTATTTATAGAAGATCTATCTTAATGTTTTATCTAGATTTTCTTTTACAAAAAGGCAATTTAAAACTTCGAGTAAACTCACGTGATCTTCCGAGAGCGTCGTCCTTTTAGTTTATAATACTAAAAAAATCGTAAAAGTTATGTCTTGCAATCACGTGAAGTTTAAACTAATGTCATCAAAAGATCTTTCATCTTATTCTCCAAATTCGAATTATGTCAATTACGCCTACGACAGTTTCATATCAATCTCGATCTTGAGAACTGTTCCAACAGTTCAAAAAGATGAGATTAAGTTCTGTACCAGAAAACCTATGAACCGATCCCATCTCTGGCAATTCTCTTGAACTCATGCATTTTAACTGTCATACCTCTATTAACCATGTACTCAAACTGTTTCAACCGTGTTTTGCCTCAAAATGAAGAAATATGTATTGAACTAAATGATAAAATATTTTTCCAATCGAAAGAAAATTATAGTAAGATAAATTCAAACATTAAATCATTCTCTGTTTGGTTGTTAAAGATTCAAAATCTTCTATATAGTTTATTCATATAAATATTCTCGAATCTAAATTGCGATATCTAATATAAGACTAATCTTTAAATATTGTCAAAATATTTCAACAAAAAAAAAAATTAAACAAATCAAATTTGACATAATTACCTATATGGAAAAACTGGATAATCTTCAAGTTTATTTGAATCATGATATGGATGACTTTGATTACTAAGAATTGTTTTTGAAATATTTTTTGTTATTTCATTAGCACTTTTCATAGCACCAATAAAATCTTTTGATGTTTTAAGTACAGAATGAAAACCCATAAAATATGAACTTTTAACATAAGTTTTATTAATTAATTCAACACCATCATGATATGCAGCATGACCACCTTTAGGACATTTTTCACCTGGATTATCAATTAAAAAATATTCAATATATTGTTGAAAATCATATTCCGATGGTCGTTGATTTTCAAGAAATTCTATTGGACATGGTATACATAATGTATTATTTAATGTAGCTGGACAAAATTCATTTGTTTGATTATTTATTCTACAACAAGGTGGATCATTTGTTGATTGTAACCAATCAAAATAATCATCAAGCCATGATGATGGTGGTTGTGCTAAATAATAATGTTGTGGTTGTCGTAATGCTTGTCCTATTTGTCCAAGTAATGATATTGATGAACAACCTGATGTACCACATAATAAATTTTGTTCATCAATTTTTTTATAATCAATTGCATTTTGATTAACAACAAAATAAACAGGTGGACCAACACTTAAATAATTTTCTAAACCACGAAAATAATTTAATACATAAGAATCTTTTGGCATAGATAATTTTTGATCAAGACCAATTGGTATACGATGTATAATTGATAATGATAAACATGTTGCAATAATAAATAATGAAAATAATATTGCACGTATATAAGATATACCTAATACCATAGGTGTCCATATATTCATAAATATTTTTTGTAATATTCCTTTTGATCTATCTTCTATTTGATTATTTGTTAATGTAGATTTTATTGAATAACAACAACATAAATCAGGTCGATTAGATTGTTGTCGTTTAGAATCAAGTGAAAGTATGGATACAAAACAAGTTATTTGAAGTAAAAAATCAATAAATACAGCCATAAATGCATATAAAGAAAAAATTTGTACAGCTGGCATTGGTGTTAATGCACCA